AGCCTGGGCTGGTCCTAAAACTGGGATTTACTGGTTGGGCATGACCAAATGGAATGGTTTGTGCAGCACAGGGAGGAACCAGAGACAGAGATTTCACTCAGTGAGGGACTGACAGAACAAAATCAGGATTCTGAAGGGGTTTTATCTGTGACTCTTCAGGGAATTCCCAGCCCTGGCCATACCCACGAGGGGCTGTGGAACAACAGGGTGGTTTGCACAGCCAGGACAGGCACAGCCACTCCCTGTGGGTGTCTCACAGGTCTGTAAATCCCCAAAGCACATGAAAATCATTCCCAAGGGCAGCTGGAATGCTGCTCCAGGCTGCCCATGCTCACTGTGGTTCAGTTATACCATGCAGGTAGTAAGAGACCGGTTTTTTTGTTTAATTGATTTAAAAAAAAAAAAACAAAACACAGTGGATGCATCAGTGTTGTTGTGGAGCTTGGGCTGGTCCTGAAACTGGGATTTACTGGTTGGACATGACCAAATGGAATGGTTTGTGCAGCACAGAGCACAGGGAGGAACCAGAGACGGAGATTTTACTCCACGAGGAAGTTCTGGCACAGGACCGTGAGGAGCTGCAGAAGGAATTCCATCTGTGAATCTCCAGTGAATTCCCAGCCCTGGCCATACCCAAAGGGAAAATGTGGAGCAGCCAAAGCCCTGCAGGGTGGTTTGCACAGGCAGGCCAAGCACAGCCACTCCCTGTAGGTGTCTTACAGGTCTGTAAATCCCCAAAGCACCGTGAAAAGCATTCCCATACTCACTATGGTTCTGTCTATAGTATGCAGGTAGTAGGAGACTGGTTTCCCTGTCCAGGACACGGATCCCTTCAGGGGTGACAGCTCCACAACTCTCATTATAGTGCCAATATCTGTGGGAAGAAAGGGAAAAGCTGCCTCAGTTCTGCTCAGCTGAAACCACCAGGTCACAGAAGGAAAATCTTACAGTTTCCCACCCTAAAGAAAAGCCCTGCAGTGAGTTTAGACAGAGTTTCTTATTCTGTTGCCACATCACAATGTAGAAAACCACCTTTTATGTCTGAAATCACAACCCAGTGCAAGCTTTCAGCAAGCAGGAGAGCTCGGAGAACTTTTCCAGGGGAACACGTGTGTGCCAGGAGGGCTGAGAGGGACAGACCCAGCCCCAGGACATCACCAGCCCCTGGAAACCAGGACAAACATGGTTTGTGTTTGCTTCACTGCCTCTGTTTGTTCTGCTCTCCACAATTAACAGCTTTGGGATGTGCCCTAAACATCCCCACAACCCCTGAGCCCGTGGAGAAACCATGGAATGCTTCTAATTAAACAGAAATTACCCAGAAGAGGCCAAAAGCGAGGTTTGGGATCCAGCAACCTCAACCCCAGTTTTAACCACACTTTAATGCCTGTTTTTGTTTGTCCAACTCTTTGCACATTCTTATTTCTTCTTCCAGATGGAGCTGCTGAGGACAAAGCTGGGACTGAGGGAAATGGTGTTTCTTAAAGCTTTTCTTCCCCACTGTATTTTGTAAATTATTTAAGATCAGGACACCAGTGACATTCCCTCCAGTGCAGGACACTGGCCATGGCTGGGGACATCTCCCTGGAAGTGTCACTTGGGACAGGCCATGGAACAAGGCCCAGGCTCAGCACATTTCCATTTGATATTGGCATTTCCCAAATACAGGACGGGATTAAGACCTAAAATTTATTCCCACAGTTTTCCCCAGTTTGCAGCACACAAAGCTGATTTCTTCCCCACGTCCTTTTATCTGAATCCTTGGGATTTTCCTGCTAGTGGGAGTTGTTACCCATCCTTTTGCTGAGCCACCTCTATAATCACCTATTTCTATATATAGAAATAAGGGGGGTAAATTTAGGGAATGTTCTGCACTGGACACAGTAAATATGTGTAAAGCCCAGCTTGGATCCTTCTTTTCCTTGAGAGATTTCATGGATATAGAATATGCTGAGCTGGAAGGGACCCCCAGGGATCCCCAAGTCCAACTCCCAGCCCTGCAAAGAACAACCCCAATTTCAACGATGGGAGTTTCCAACAGCTCAGAAGCAAAACCAGCACCAAGGGGCATTAACCCCTCCAAAAAACCCTGCAGGTCAGGTCCCTGCAAAGGACAACACTGGCAAAGCTGGAGTCACAACTCTGTTGGCAGCAAAGCAGACCCGGGGAGGGGAGGGCAGGGAGGGCTTTGTTGGCTCAGCTTGCACATGGGGAGTTCAGAGGTGAACACTGGAGGGAATTCTCATGGAATGGTTTGGGGTGGGAGGGAGCTTAAAGTTCATCCCATCCCACCCCCTGCCATGGGCAGGGACACCTTCCACTGGCCCAGGGTGCTCCAACCTGGCCTTGGACACTTCCAGGGATCCAGGGGCAGCCACAGCTGCTCTGGGAATTCCATCCCAGCCCCTCCCCACCCTCACAGCCAAGAATTCCTTCCCAATATCCCATCTATCCCTGCCCTCTGGCACTGGGAACCAATTCCCTATGTCCTGTCCCTCCATCCCTTGTCCCCAGTCCCTCTCCAGCTCTCCTGGAGCCCCTTTAGGCCCTGCAAGGGGCTCTCAGCTCTCCCTGGAGCCTTCTCTTCTCCAGATGAACCCCCCCAGCTCTCCCAGCCTGGCTCCAGAACCTCCAAGCCTCAGGAATCACGACTGGTGGGGTTCATCTGGCCAGGTTTAATCAGCTACAGCATAACCTGACAGCTCCTGCAGCTCCTTTGTGGCCAAAGAAACAAATCCCACCCTTGAACCCCTCATTTCTCTGCAGCTGCCCAGCCAGGGCCACACTGATGGTCCAAACACCAAAACCCAGCAGCACAAACCTCATCAGAAGTGTCTGTTCCAGTGCTGGGGGAGGTTTTTATATAGTTTGGTTTCAAATCCCCGACACTTTGGCACTTGTGCCCTAACAATTCCACTTATTTACTCAACTACTTATTTATTTCTACTTGTTTATACAACTCTCAAGAGCAACAAACCCCCAGATAACGAAACAAAATCCCACCCCAGACACGTTCAGATAATGAATAAACCCCCCCCACTGTTAACGAACAATAGAAAGGACAACCATACCACTCAAGTTTCGACTGTTAATTCTAAAATTTAGAGGTGCAAAAGGTTTTGAGGACACAATTCTCCCACCTGGAAAAAAGAAAAGGAGAAAAAAATAAAAAAAGAAAAGCAAAGTCAGCCCCACTGTTTGTTCTAGAAATAACCACTTATTAAATATAACCTGGTACAGAGCCCTGAAGAGCAGCCCCATAAAAGTACCACTTGTACATCATTAAAAAGAATAAATTAGCTAATTCTCATTCTGACAGTCTCCAAGAAAGTCAATCTTTGAGGTGACACCTCAAGGATCACTTTAAAATGACAGATTTAACACACTTGGAAAAGAGAGAGCACGTGGATTCTCAGTGGCAATCTGAAGAAATTTCAATTATCTCCTTCCTGGTTGGGATCTTTTATACACAAGCCCCCAAAGGCCTTTTATTCAAAGGCCATAATTTCCATTTCATGGGTATTTGGGGTCATTCAGCCCAAGGCAGAGCCTGGGCACGTTCTGGGAAGAGAAATAATGTTTCCCCACAGTAAAAAGTGCTTGCGCCATCCCCAGCTTGCCACTGCTTTCAAGCCACCCCTCAAGAAGTTTAAAAAAAATCAAAAAAAGAAACCAGTAAAATTAAAGAAAACAGCTTAATTTGGGGGGTTTTATGGTTTGCACCAGAGCCCAAAAGTCCCATTATTTATTTCAGCACAAAGCTGTGCCATGGGAAGCCACAGATTCTTTGCTCACACCACACATTATTTTCTTTCCAGAAATAGTTATTTTTGGCATTTCTGCCCCAGCCAAACAAAACTGCTGCTTACAGCAGTGGTGAAGAGCAAAGAGAAAAGACACCCCGGGCCAAGGCAGGGCCACGGTGGGGTCAGGGGGTGTCCCCAGTCTGCTGTGGCACTTCTGAAGGAGCACCCAGGATGTTTGAACACTCCAGGGATGGTGACTCCACCACTGCCCTGGGCAGCTGTGCCAGTGCTTTACAACCCTTCCCATGGGGAAATATTCCACAATCTCCAATCTAAACCTCCCTTGGCACAGCTTGGGGCTGTTCCCTCTCCTCCTGTCCCTGTTCCCTGGGAGCAGAGCCTGAACCCCCCCCCAGCTCCCCCCTCCTGTCAGGGAGTTGCAGAGCCAGAAGGTCCCCCCTGAGCCTCCTTTTCTCCAGGATGAGCCCCCCCAGCTCCCTCAGCTGCTCCAGCCTCTTCCCAAGCTCTGTTCCCTTCCCTGGGCAACACCCACATTTTATCAGCCTGTAAATCCTATTTCATTATTTATTAGTTAACACCAAGTACTAAATGTGACAGCTTCAAATAGGAGAACCCAGTAAATGAATTTCCTATGGAATTACAGAGCTTGGTTATCCAGGGCCTCTGCAGCCAGGAATCACGCAATGGGTTGGGTGGGAAGGGACTTTAAATCCCATCCAGTGCCACCCCCTGCCATGGGCAGGGACACCTTCCACCAGCCCAGGGTGCTCCAAGCCCCGTCCAACGTGGCCTTGGACACTCCCAGGGATCCAGGAATTCTGGCCTTGGCTGTTGCATGTTCCAGGTTCCCATGGGAGGTAAGGAAGGACCAGCAGCTCCTCCCAGCCCAGCTCTGCTCCTCAGTCTTCCTACCCCAAGGAGCCAGGGAGGTGTTAGGGTGGGAAGCAGAAAGCCCAAGAAATAACCCCTGTGCTGCAGACACTTGGCCCCAGGGCACAGAACAGCCCCTCAACCAGCCCAGCTCCCACAGGGACCAGGAATCCCAGACGAAAACACTCCCACGAGGGATTTACCTTCCTTCATGTTGGCAAATCGCTCCTTCAGCTGGTGATCCACCTCGGGGCCGAAGGCAAAGTTATTCACAAAAATAACACTGCAAGGGAAAGGTCAGGTGAGTGAACAGGGAGCCAGGAACATTCCACCCCCACCCCCAGCCATGTCACAGGGACAGTGACAACAACAAACAAACAAACACCTTCCTCTTGCTCAGGGACCCAAAGAGCCCCTCAGCTTCACCTGCAGCCTGGGCAGTTACACTTAAAAACATTCAACAAGCCCCACTTCATCCTGTTGCTTCTCCCCCTGCATTTAAAATACTACAGTAAAAAATGCAAAATATGTTTTAGAATCATGGAATGGGTTGGGTTGGGAAGGACCTTAAAAAGCTCCTGAGTTCTACTCCCTGCCATGGGCTGGAACACCTCCCACTAGTCCAGGTTGCTCCAACCCGGCCTGGGACACTTCCAGGGATGGGGAGTCCACAACCTGTTCCTCTTCCAGCTGTAAATTCCCTGGAGTGCCATAAAACAGTGACACCTGAGCAATGTTTGTCCTGTCCTAAGCCCAGCACCTCACGCCCAAGGGAGGAGTCGGTTCCTTCTTTCCAGGTTAGAAAATCCAGTGAGGGGGTTTTGGCTCCTGGAACAAAAAGTCACGTGGAAACACAGAAACCTGCCCAGAACCCCACAAAGGGGTTAATAAATGTGGATAAACGTGTTTGAGAGAGAAACACAAAATGCCACAGATTGAAAAAGAAATAACCCCAAGGCTGCCAGAGCTCCAGGAGCGTTTGGACAACGCTCTGAGGGACAGGGGGGGATTGTTGGGGTGTGCTGGGCAGGGCCAGGGGTTGGGCTGGATGATCCTTGGGGGTCCCTCCCAGCTCAGGAGACTCCAGGGTTCCATGAAGAGCCATTGTGGCACATTTGTTTCCACATGAAGAGCTGGTTCCTTTGTGAGAGGTCTGCTGGAAAACACCCCCTGCCAGAGCCTCCCCAAACGAAACGTGTTCAACAAGGACAGGGAGTTTAGGAGCAGCAGCCAAAGCTGTGAAAAACCACCAATGAAAAGAAAATGTTTATACACCAAGGGGAAAAAAAATAATAATAAAAAAAGCTCTTCTTGCTACGCCTTGCACTTGGAAATTTGGGAAACCCTGCCTGACAAGGAAAGCCAGCAGGGGTTTCTTCCTCCTCCTCCTCCCCATGTGCCAAAAAAGAGGCCTTGCAAAAGAGCCAAACATATTAATGGGAGTAGAAAACATCCAGGAAAGGAAGGGGAGAAGCCAGAGCTTGCAGATGGGTGTGTTTACAGTGCTGCTTCTGGCCCAGCACTCGCTGTGCACGTGCAGGGCAGGGGGGCCCAGAGCTCCCTGATCCCATCAGGAATTGCCCAGCCATGGGAATGCTGGTCCTGCAGGGCTCATTCCATGTGGCTCTGGGATGTGGGGAGCCGTGTCCTGCTCCCATCATCACTCCCTGGGGATGTCCCAGCCCTGCAAGTGCCCAAATCCAGGCTGGAGCACCCTGGGGATGAGATGGGCTTTGAGGTCCTTCCCACTCAACCCATCCCGGGATTCTGCAGCAGGGTGAGGTGTGGGGAGAGCACTGAGACACACAATTAGTGCATCATCACCCCAAATAAACACCTCCCCCTGCACTCAGAGCTCCTGCAGCCCAAAACTGGCCTAAAAATTTCCCTAAATTGAAGGGAAGTGGCCCAGGCAGCAGAGGAGGCTGCCCTTGGGATAAGCAGCAGCAAAGCCAAACCCCAGGGAGCTGCAGGGCCAGGACAAGCCTGTCCCCAAATGAAAAGGCACCTCCAGGAGGAATTAAGGCCCATTACAAAGCAGAAATCAGCAGCCTCCTCCATGGCCTGCTCCTAAAGCATTCCCCTGGGAGCAGGCCAGGAATTGCCACAACTGAAGGCTTTCAGAGCCCTCTCTGCCAACTGCCTTCCATTCCCCCACATCACAGGGTGGCCCAGAAAGTCATATAAAAATAAAGAGGGTGTTTTGGTTTTTGGTTTGTTTGTTTTTTTTTTTTTTTCTCTGCCCATAAGGCTGAAAGAATGCAAAGCTTTAAAAATACAGACGACTTTTATGGCTTTTAACAAATTTACTCCCTCTTTTTGCTCCCTC